TTCAGGGCACCTGGAGCATCCAGGTGATTGAAAATAAGACTGAATTCATACTTGTGTGCAATTTTATTCCATCCCCTGGTAAGTGCCATCTGGAACCACGTCATAACCTGGTCAGAATCAAGATACTGAGTGTCTTTGAAGCAAAGGAGATCTTCCACATGGTTATTCTGCCTAGATTGGCTCACTTTGCTATGAAGTAGACAAAGTAAATCTTCTCCCAATTTAGTTTTATCACAGATACAACTTGATGAGTTATCATCTGTCCGGCTGATCTTTATCATACCATAACTTTCTTTGTCCGGTAGAACAGACTCTCCTGAACACCAGGTCTCAAATTGGAAACAGTATGGCTCTGGAGGATTAAAGGGGACAATGAAATCACAAGTGAAAGGCTTGTTTGCTCTCCAGTTTTCATACATGCTCCCAACTCCAATAGACTCTTCCACTTCCATGTCAGTATCTCGATTACACATGCTTCTCAAAGCTTCTAATAAGTCATCTGCAAAGCCTTCCACAAGTTCTCGGTTCCTAGCAATATCACTTGTCATATTCTGGAGGCATCTTTCATAAAAACTGTCCAATGTGACTTTGTCTGGTAGAATAAAACCCTTGAATATTCTTCCCAGAACATTAATTTCATCATCTTCTTTAGTATAATCTTGCCAGTTCCCTTCCTGGTAATCCTGTCTCCAGAATTCAATCAGAAGGAAGACTATCATGGACAATGCAGTCCAGAAATTCCAAGAAAGTGAATCATGGTCATACTGTTTTTCTGGTCCAGTCTTCTCCTCTGAGGAATCCACTGAAACTTCTTGTGCTGCTAATTCCTGCTCCAGTTTCAGCTGCTCTAACCTCAGGTTCTCCTCACGCTCTTTCATCTTTTCAATGATTTCTTCTGTGTTTTCAAAAACAGTAACATTTTCCTTTGGGAAGAGAAATGGATGGTTGACAATAGCTGTGATTACCACCAAGCACACCCGGAAGAATCCAGCCGGCATAATAAAATCTTATCTGTGAGAGAGACAGAGAAATATAGTTAGTTTTGCTGATAATGGCACATAGATATGAAGAAGTATATTACTGGCATTGCTGAAATAACTGTCTGGCACTTTTCTTACTTTTCTCTCTAGTTCTAAAAATGTCCATGATTTCAGACATAGGAACAATGATCTTTATATCATGTACAAATGTTAGTATATTTCAGGAATTTACTTAAAGAGAACAGGTACTACCAAGAGAAAGGGGGAGAGAGAAAAATATCAATTTCAAGCAAAACCTGGATGTTAATTATAAACCCCACAAGAGGATTAAAGGAAACAGATGGCAATGTTTATTTTGCCAATGCTCCATTTAATATTGCTACAATGATGAAGTGTATGAAGATTGTTTCCATTGGTGTCAAGAGACTAAATTTATTTTTTGGCTAATGAGATACTGTACAAAAATATGACTCCTGTGAAATTTCAGAAGGAACAAAAAATAGAACAAAACAAAACCCCTTAATTGATTTTATATATGTATGTCCTAAGGCTGTATTAGTTCTTACTGTTTTGCATGTTGATCTCTCATCTGGGCATCATTAAAAGGCTAACAACTGTGTGCATTCTAAAATAAGTGGAAAAAAGAGCTTTCTTAAGATAGAAAACTGTATTACCTCTCCTAATACAAGTATACTCTATTTACAAATAGCCTTAAACCCCTATTTATTTCTCTTTTGTATTTATAACTGTTTTACTTTTAAACTTTCATTGAGTCAAACATTCTTCACGGTGAGGAAATTGCTAGCTTACATAAGCATTTCAATTACTCACGTGTGTGAACTGATTCATACTTCTGATTTTTCATAAAGCACTATCTACAGAAACTGATCTTAGAGCATTCACATAAGCAACTTAAAATGGATATAGTGTTTTATGTTATAGTATTATGCAACCAACACTTTACATATGAAACAGTTCTGGCTAATAAATCATATTAGTTTTAATATATCTGTCCTCTAAAAATCATAGGCTACAGTTTCAATCAGACAGCCATGCAAATTATGAAATAAGTCATGGTAGCCAGTCATCTGACAACTCTGTCAGGCAAGAAAATCTCTTGAAATTGCTGCTCTGGTTATTAATAAGGTCCTGGACTTAATTAAAAATGCTTAAAGCTTAAAGTAGACTTAAAGCTCTTTAGAATGCAGCACTGAACTGAAATAGTTCAGGCAAAGCCCTGTCAAAATCAGATCTGCTTGTCTTGCTCCATTCATTTAGATAAGGCCTGTTTTAGGTCCTCCTACAAATGAAGTTCATGGAGAGTGGGCCAGATGATAAGACCTTCTCAGTGGTGGCTCCCATTTTATTGAAGACTCTCCTACTAAAGGAAAGGTCAACTTCTACTGTATACAGGTAGTATTAAGATTATGATCACTCGTTCAGCGACTGTTCAAATGTTCATGACAGCACTGAAGGAAGGGGACTTGTGATTGGTCTGTAAAATTTCAGCTCTTGCAACATGGTCATTATTCAGGTACTTGGCAACCAGCTTGTAATTATAGTACAATGGTTGCAGCATTCCACAGGCACATGATTGTCATCTGCTACACAAGGAAAGTCAGTGGGAAGTCAGCAGGTCGTTAAGTCACTCCCATTACTTTTTTGCTTCCTCATGCTTCTTAGTGGCATCTGCCATGGCATCTGCCCATGCTCTGTAGTTTGCTGCTTACAACAGTTGCTTTCCTGGGACAACAACCAACCCATTTACCCATTCATGCTCCATAGTGCCTGCCTGTAGCACCCACCAGCCCTTCTGTGGCTTTAACCTATAGCTCTTACCCATCAACCTACTTGCCTGAGGTTCCTGCCTTTTCCCACATCACAGTATTTCCTGGATTGCTGTTGCTATGCAATGGGGCCATGTGGCACCTCCTGCTTTACAACCACATTGCATAGTGATGGAAATTCCAGTCCTAATTGCTATCATAACCCAACCACTACCTGTAGTCATTTTGAAAATTAAAAAAGCATTTTCCAGGGGCCATTTGGCCTTTATGTTAGTTTTAACTAAATGGTGCTTATGTTGTGCTGGATTTTTACTTATTTTTATTGTGCACATGTGACTTTTAATGTTTTTGTCTTGATTTTGTAACAACATTGTGGAGTCACAGTTGATGTTTGATTTTTTTTCCAAGGATGGCCCCACAAATACATGAATAAATCTAAATTATCTAAATGAGTAGCTAGGTTATTAATTATTAAATTTACATGCTACCTATCTTGCAGTTCAAGGCAGCTCTGAGACGCTTATAATGTAATAAAAACACAGATAAAAACAATTATAAATATAAAAACAGATTAAAATTACAAAATATTAAAACAAAAAATCAGGGATTTGGAGCGGAGCAGTGATGCTGTCTTCTTGTGTTAATGAACCAACCACCTCTAGCCAACAATGGAACAATGCATTCTTATGGCCAAAACTATCTTCCCCAAAGCTGAGACAGACAGAAGAGTCCTAATTTCATCCTCAAGGGATATTATCACTATTTTGAAGTTGTGTGCAAATAAGAACAATTAGTAATCTTCACATGACTGAACATAGTATAATATAGTAATCATTAGGCCTGGAAACACCAAGTTCAAATCCACTATGACTATGGTAATATAGTGGGTCACTGCTTCTTAGCTCAATCTATTTCATGAGCTAATGTTCTGGGGATAAAATGAAGAAAAACCCCCTCCCCCAATTATCTTCCAAAACCTGGAAAAGATAGGAGGCAAATAAGCAAAAAAATTCAACATCAAATCTTCCACTACCAACTGGATCTCAGCTCTACATTCCAAAAGTGCCATGTTTATTATGGAAAGAACATTTGGGAGTTGGTGCAATTATCCATTATTGGCAGGCTCTACCTCAGTCTGTGCCAACCTGGATGAGCTAGAACAATAATTGTCAGGATCCCCAACCAAAATGGCCAATTCTGAGAGTTGCAGTCCCAGATGCCCATGTGGGGAAGGCTGTTCTGTATCATGTGAATTGCTTCAGAAAAGCACAGGATTGAATAAATTATGGAAAAAAAGTCACAATTTCTGTTATCTGTGAAGCAGAATTTGGATGACTATATGTAAAGAACTAGATAAACCTGCTCTTGCAGATCCTGAGAAGCAAACAAACCAGATTTACTTGTTATATCACTGGTATGCTGGATTTTCCTAGCGAAATGATAAATTGCAGAAGACTCACAGACTATTGCAAACTAAGCTACCAAATTCTAGAGGCTGGGCTTGCAAACTACATTTTAACAACAGAGGGGATTGGAACCAAAAAATGAATGTTGCCTATTGCGATTATATGTATTAGATTTTTATATAATAGGTGGAAAAAAGGAAGTTTTGCCAAGAATTTAGAGAGATAAGAGCACAATGGTATAAATTTGGTGATCCAGAAAGGGCCCTGAAGGATGATGACCTTTTCACTGATCACTACCAAAAGCATACTGATCCAGAGTGAGGCATGTTAGTTGGTGGCTTAGAAAACAAGGATAAGAAATGTATGAAATGTCTGTGGATGTAGGTTATTAGTGTGTAAATTTAAATAGGGAATATCACAAATGAAAGATTATGTGTTCAAATTCAGCTGCTTGGAATGGTGCCTAAGTCTATCATCTGCCTAGCTAATACAGCATTAATAAGTTTTTTTGCATTACAAAAATATTTGGTTTCTTTATATATTTGTGTACTTTCTGAAACAAAATGCTTCACTCTGCAGTGTAGCAAGCTTGGCTTGGGGTTATACTTTTAAATACAAGCAGCAGCCAAGGCAGTTCAACAATTATGATTTGAGATTCAGTCTGGGGAGATTTAAGTTCAGATCTACTCTCAGTCACTATAATTTCACCAAAGGAACTGGGCTAGTTGCTATTCTCATCCCAGCCCACCTCATATAGTTATTTTGGAGAAAAATCAGATGAAGTACTGGTTAAGTACAGAAACTTGAAATCCTGGGCAAATTATGGAATATAATTCATAAATATAAACAAGAATTAGGCCATCTTTGCTTTGAACATCTAATAATCCAAGAAAAGTAAAAACCTGTTCCTGGTTTGGGATAATTTTCATAAGATACTCAGGAAAAATTAGATATGTAATTTAAAGGAGGGGTCCCCAACTCCCGGTCCGTGGCATGCCGGAAACCGGGCTGCATAAACAAGCAAAGCCCCATCCATGGGATGCAGGCAGCACACAAAACCACACCTTCTCCGGTCCACAGAAAAATCTCTCTCCACGGAACTGGTCCCTGGTGCCCAAAAGATTGGTGGCCTCCAATTTATAGGGCAGATATCTTTCTCTCCACCCAATGTCACTGAGGATTTTAAAAATTAAGCTAGAAATTACAGTCAGTCTGCAATCTTTATCTGTTCACAAGAAATCTCCAGGATTTCCTTTTCTGGGCTGTTATTAAAAATAGAACAGTATGCAGTATGCATGCACTGAGAAGCAAATATAACACTGCCACTGCTATCCTCTCTGAGGCATCGTGATCTCAGACCTGAGCAAATGGATGTGGCTTGTGATTAGGAAGCACTGTGTCTAATTAATAAGATTATAAAATAATTTAAATAAAGATTAGAGGGCAAGTTTTCATGGCCATTGAAATTATTTTGGGATACAGTGTGAGAGACAATGAATATAAGCTAATATTTTGTAAGTGACTATCAACCTACATTCATTGCCTCACACAGTATTATCCTGAACTAATTTTAACCAAACATAATTGTACATAATTAAGATGTGAAAAACAATGTGCATTTAAACAGGTCCAGCAGTGGCCCTTTACAAACATCCCATGAGGCTGATGGAACTTTTTGGTTGGTCTGGCCCAAATGGATGATGAATTTTGATGTATACATGAAGGTGCTTATAGTTCTCCTGATAGCTTTAATGGGCAGTTCTGATTTTGGATGTAGTTTTGGAAAATGGAGACTACCAAAGAGCAATACCCATAGCAATCCCAAGAAGACA